ATGACCACGGCGAGATTAAGCAGGTATTTAACCTGGAAGATTGGGGTTTCCTCTCTTGGGAGGAGCATTTTGACCATGTTGGTCTGGATTTTTGCGTTTCCGATTTTGAAGAATTGCATTTGGGAGGGGTGGAATCCCAGTTCCTCCAATTCGGTTTGGATCTCAGGGAGCGCCATCTTGTTGTGAAGACCTTTGATGATGGCAATGAGTTTCTTGTCCTCAAGCAAGGTGTAAGTGTGGAATTCCACCTTTTCACGAGAGAAGAGTTTCGTGATTGCCCGATGGTCGCCTGTAGTTAGGGGGTGAATTTGGATGCCGAGAGAGACTTTTTTCGAGCTTGTGTATCCGCAGTTGTGTTGTGCGAGAAGGTTTCGCACTTTTGTCCATTCCGCCACATTGCGGATGACGATCGGAATGGCTGTTTTTTGGGCTGGTGGTTCAGAGTTGGGAGCCGAAGAGTCTTTGGGGGGTTGGGGTGGCAGAAGTTTGGGGGGTTTGTTGTGGTTTTTTTTCGGGGGCGTCCGCGTGCTGCACCATATAATGGTGGAGGGCCGCGTTAGAAGTTTATGGGAAGTTGAGTGCGGTCTTGGTCGGCAGGGCCGGGAATTTCTCAACTTTTTTTCAGACACTGTCTGAACGGGGCCAGTCTGAGGGGGCTGGGCAGTTTGTAGGGACGTGTTTTTTTGGTACTCCACAGTGAGTAGCCGGGTTAGCTCTTGAATTTGAGCGGCTTGGGTCTTAATGCGGTCGTCCTGTTTGGAATTTCGAAGCCGCATGGCTTTAATTTCGGCTCTGAGAGTCTTTAGGTCAGGGTCTCTGGTAGGAAATTTTGCGGATTGGGATTTGTTCTTACCCATTTTCCTCGAGGTACCAACACTGTTTGAAGTTATAGAGGAGCGATCGCGGCTTTCGTCACTGGAAGAATCGCCCATTTTTGCTGAAGATAACGTAGGAGGAAGTGCCGGCATTTCAAGTAGGCAACGCCAACGATGACCTCCCGAACTTATCCCCGAACTGCACTGGTGACTGAGCAGGGGCTTTCCGGAGCCCTTGAGGACCTGCGCCAAATTTCTTTTTACTGGAACTTTGTGTAACCACATGGTTCCGATGGGGTGGCAAAACACGAAGCAGCGAAGCTTCAACACTGTGGTTGGTACGCGAGGATGAGTCACTTTTGTTCCAAATTAAGAAACAGACAAGCAGATTAGGAGTGTTGTTCATCGGTCGAGAGATGAGCAACTGACTCCTCATGGTTCTCGTCGCCGCTTATATAGTTTTCTCCAGGTAACCCAGACAGTTCTCGAAATTTCCAGCCCAGGTGCGAAATTTCCCGCTTGTCAGTGTCATATTTGATAGTAAATAGGGCACCAATGGGGCTCCCATTTACTGAAATACCATGAGTTTCGATCCCCCCATTCCAAACGTGAGTACCCCAGGCCATTTCCGTGACAATATATTTCCGCAATTTTTTTGGAAGCGCGTGAGCAAATTTAGGGAAGGAATTGCCCAAGCTTAAGTTTTAAACGTTCTTTTGGTCTTCTAAAAGCTCAAATTCTTGAACCCATATTTAAAAGTAGTACACTAAACTACCAAATGCAAAATACTCAGTTGTTCTTTTACAAAATTATCAAACACATTCAAATGGATTGTTTGAATATTGTTTGTTGTTGATCCGATTTCACGAATGACAATCTAGCAACCCATTTAATTAAAGTATAGAAAATCAGGTAAATTGTAAAGACTGCTTCAGTGCAATAAGCTTCAATCAAGCCCCAATTATGATTTTGAAAGCATTGATGTATGCAAGCACAACACTTGAAACCATAGCCTCATACACTTTTGAAATTTGCAACTATTGTGTTTTAAAAATCAATGAAAATCTGCCTAGGTTACATACATTTTAAATGGGAAGAGCTGTCACTTTACTCAAGAGAGTACCAGGAGACGTCAGGCGCAAGAAAACCGAATTTGAGAACGATGCGTATCCTACCTTCTAGTAGTAGAAACTAGAGTTGAGCAACAAATCACTACCTAGTGTGATTTTTTCACAGCAATTAATACATGCACATGCAGCCCGACAACAGAATGAACCCAAATAACATTCTTTTGTTCGTTAAAGAAAGCTTTCATTCGCGAGTTCCCCTGAACCTAGATTTTATTGATATTTTAGGTTTTCCTTCAGATATTTGTAACGGATAGAAAAAATCGTCTTAGCGCCACCAAAACCAAAATGCTACTATTTATGAACACCTATTTTCACTCAAATAAAGTTTTTTTTCAGATCAAAAATTGAAATCAAATATGGCTTGTTCACAAATAATTTTGTCACAAGAGATACATACACTACTCCTTCTGTGTAAAACAATAGTTTCTTTGTTCATATTTTAACTTTTTTCCAGATTATTTTTAGAAGTTTTCAAGTACGTATATACTTTTATACATTTTTTATTATTTTTTTAAAATTTGCCTTTATAAAATTATTAAAATTAAAATTTAAAAAAAATAGTAAATTTGGGTTTATAAAATTGACAATCACCTTACGAAATAACATTAACAGATTAAATTCACATTCACAGTTATAAGTGAACTTCTCAAATCGAATGTAGCTCAGGATTCATCCATTTCATTTTTACAATCTATTCAAATACACCCTGTATTCTGTTGATTTGGTAAAGTTCGTTTATCTGACATGCGGCAACGTCGCCTGCCAGTTTGACAGCTGACCATGCTTAAAAGTTTGTTTGATTTTGTTTTGTGTCTGAATTATCTTCAGACTCTCGTTATTTTTGCTCAATTAAACCCGAACTCTTCAAAGTGCAATCCGTAATTAATATCTAGGATCTCAACTGTTTAATGACTGTCAGAAAACCATAGAGAAATCCACATTTCATTCGTATTTGTCTTTCGTAGCAGCAAATGCTTTGTTTATCCTTGTAAACCCACAATTACTGAATAAAACGATTATGTCATCGTTCGGAAACTACTAAAACCGCATAAATATAGAGCGATGCTTCACTGTTCCCCAAAACACCGTGCTTTATATACTTGGCTGGTCACACGTTTGCACTCGGCAAACAAAGCACCATCAAGCTGAAACCGCTCATCTCATTAAATCTGCAATCTAATCAATTCCTCTGTGATATTATTTATTGTATTTATCAATTAATCATTACCCGCTCGTTCACTGTTAGGTAAAGTACGATGACGGTTACGTACACCGCTGAAGTAGCGACTTGCAGAGGGTTAGGGTGCTTTTTGAAGCTTCTAGGAAGGTAAGTTGGCAATTGGCTTGTAGGCTTGAATGACCAACCTTTGCATCTCCAGGTGGAAGGGCAGCATCTACAAACTCGTCTGGCTGGACCTCCTCATGTTCTTGTTCGTTTATTACAGTCTGAATATGACCTACAGATATCTCCTGGATGAAGCAGGCAAAGCGTAAGTTTATTTATCATAGTAAAACATTTTAATCTACGTACTAATAAATCTGGCCCTATATTCTGCAACAAAAAGTATACCTTTTTTGGTTATTGACTTCATTCATTGGAGTTAACCCTTTCCCAAACAAAGCGACCAGAATTGGTTTTTTTTTGGTACATATTCAGTGCCCTGATAATTTAAAAAATCATTGGTAATACAATGTTTATTGCCGTTTGTGTGTTAAAAAGGTTATTATGATGTTATTGATGTGCCTTCCTCTAGCTATTGCAGCTTGATGTCATTTTATCAATGTTTTGTCGCCAAGCCAATTGTACGTTTCTCACCCATAAATTCTCGTCTTTGTTATTTTCTACTTTTCCGTCTTACATTAGATGCAAACTCTCGTCTTCTGTTTATCATTGCTTATTATCATTTGCTGTTTAAAACATGAATGTTTCTAGTTTGGCTCATAACATCACCTGTTAAGCGCATCGATTCTTCTTCGCTTTGTGTGAGTGTTACTAGCTTGCTTTGTGTGTGTGGTTTTACGTTATAGAGAATTGTAGGAAAGTCCAAACATTTCAAGACTGCAACTAAGGATTTTACGTTCAGTATTCATGTTTTCCTAATTTTAAGTTATCCCAAATGTCATTGATAGCGTTGCCCAAATATGTAATTCCTGATACTCTCTAACACCTTATCATCGAGTGTTACATTTGCACTCTTCGTTCGACACCCTGTACACACTCAAATTCTTAACACTATTCCACCTTTTCAGGTTATTTGAAATGATAGTAAAGTACTGCTACGACTACGGCAGTCTGATTCCTCTGTCTTTCGTTCTTGGATTCTATGTGTCAGTGGTTATGACTAGATGGTGGAACCAGTACACTGCCATACCATTTCCAGACCCTCTGGCTGTGTTTGTTAGTGCAACTGTACATGGCCAGGTGAGTTTTCAGCTTTAGGTGCTACGCACTTACTTACGTATGGTACTCGTTGTGTCTTTAGGACGAAAGAGGCAGAGTAATGCGCCGCACAATAATGCGATACGTGTGTCTTTGCGTCACAATGACCTTTACAATGATCTCCCCTAGAGTCAAGAAGCGGTTTCCCACTCTCGAGCATTTGGTGGAGGCAGGGCTGCTACATGAGAGTGAAAAAGAAATTATGGTGAATCTGAACAAGAAGTTTCCCAAGTATTCAAAACACTGGTACGTTTGTTACGCATTAAATAAGATTGCGATAAAATCCTAAAGTAAACGCAATCCCAGCTAGTGTTAGCTACCTAGGAGAATGTCGGGATTCCAAGCCCATATAATGCAGACACGTTTCCTAGAACCTGACGTGTTGTCTAATTATTTGCTGTTAGGCTGAATCAAGTCTGTCACGCATCATATTATCGTAAAGCAACAGTTAAGGGAACAAGCAAACACTAACGTGTAATTATCTATTCACATAGTATACACCGACAAATAACAGGCATGTTTGTGTAATTTTTTCATGGACAGGAATCCGCACGCTGACACATTAATAGCGCTGTTTTAGCAAAATGTTTAGATTTCGAGTAATTTATTCAAGGCAGAATTTTCAGCTTACGCTATCGGACGAGTACTAAAGTAGAGCAGCAACTTTTATTTTTGTTCAGGTGTGAATTTACCCCGGAAGCGACGATACAAAGTATCTGATATTTCTATTGTGCAGTTTGTAGAAATTTATCAGTATCTTTACATATCGAACTCAGTGACTTGACGAGTTGGCGCAGTGATGTCGAAATGGCTTGTTGCGCCAACCCAACGCACTGGCACAGTAACTCAACGGTGCAGTTGCGTGGCAGTCACCCATTTAGTAAAACATTACTCCTAAAGAATGCGGTGACTTTTTGCTGGGTGTTTACTCCAGCCAGTGATGCCATACTTGGGAAACTTTCCCTAGTTCTAAGCATTTTTCTCAGGCAAAAAGAAAAAGAGATTTGTCAAAATTATCTAGGAATTTTTAAAATTATTCGTTTATCTGCAATAAAAACTACAGAAAGCCAACAAGTAGAGAGCAGTGATGCCATTCTAAGGAATTTCCCCCTAGTTCTAGGGATTTTTCTCAGGAAAACGGGATTTGTTATAATTATCTAGGGATTTTTAAAAATTTTCGTTTATTTGCAAAAAATAATTCTTTGAAGGAAATATTAATATATCCGACTACAGAAGGCTTACAAGTAGAGAGTTCTTTTTTTCTCAGGCAAAAGGCCTTGGATTTGAAAAAACTGTTGCGGAACTCATTTTGGATCGCGTTTTTCGGAAATAAGTTTCAGTGGAACCAAATCAAGTTCAGAAGTCTGCGTTCAGTAAGGAAGAGTGTACTCTAAATGACGTCAAAATTCCTTCAAATCACTTTCAATCAATTTTGTGTGCTTCGTAAATGATGATTTGAAAATTAACGCGCAACTGCAGACTCTTCAGTAAAAAAATCTTCTTCCACCGTAAAGAAGTAAGTAAGTAAAGAAACTTCTAAAGTAAAGCCAGTAGAAACTTAAAAGATTGATATTCTGTAGAAGACGCTTTTTTAAATAAAATTTTGGAGTGAACTTACACCTAAATGTCTGATATGCAAATTTTGTGTGACTTTTTGTGACAAATCTACCAGAATTCACTCACGCACGTTGTTATAAATCAATCGAATTGCCAATTCTCTATCCAATGATATAAAAACGAACTCTGTGGCTCAAATGGCTCTTGAGCAACTTCGACAAAAACTCTCTTGACCTTTTTTGACAAAAAAAACATAAAACTGGAACCCATATTTGCATATCTGAAACGGTTCTTTAGACAAGCTTGAGATGAGCGTGATGTAAAAATACAAAGCCGCCCAAAATATTCCCAAAGTTTAAAAATGAACTACGAAAAAACCAAAGCTCAATCGGTACCAAATCCAGCCTACGAGTCAGTTCTAGTTCAGCTAAAGTTCTATATGTACATGACATCCAGGGGCAAAGTAGTGTTACCTGGAAAGAAGGAAAAATATGTGTTAGTACAGCAAGAAATCTGTCCAAAGCAAAACTTATTTGAAATCAGCAGGATACTTTTTGCAAGCTGGTGGCCCATCCTCCATTTTTTCGCCATTAATCCTCAAAAATTTAGAGTCCTTTATATTTGTCTCAATTTCATTCGACTGCAGTGATAATGCACAACGTCAAAACTAAAATTAATAACCGAATTAATTTTGTATACTGAATACGTTTTTATGATAAAGTACAGTACTAAATTAATTCATACTAACTAGAAACCTGTATTTTCAAAATAATATAAGTTTGTAATTTGTAACTCTTCTACACTGCGCTAGATAGCGCGCACTGTTCAATGAATTAATTCATTCGAATAATTTTATTCGATAGTTGCAATCATTTAGTAATTATTCAGTAGTCGAAATTATTCGATAGGGCCCATCACCAATTATTTTCAACGGTACCTAACACTATTCGTGCATCTGCATATCAATAGGAGTTTCCGTTCAAAAGTGTCCAATTTGACCCACCCTATACATTAGAATTATTTCAATTGTGTCTCGATTAAAGGTTGCCAATAGTGTGGGCATCCAGCATTATAACCAGGGCTCGTAAGGAAGGCCGAATCCGGGACGATTTTGCTGTTAAAACACTAATCGACGAACTGAACAAGTTTCGGGGACAGTGTGGCTTGCTTCTGAGTTTTGACACTATTAGCGTGCCGCTAGTGTACACACAAGTACGTTGAGTGTGCTCAAGTCCATTTGAAACACAGACTAGATTTACGTTTCTAGGTAGTGACTTTGGCAGTATACAGCTACTTTCTGACGACACTGATGGGTCACCAATGGGTGGATAACAGCACCTACAGGTTCGACCTGTACTTCCCCGTTTTCACGACGCTTCAGTTCTTTTTCTACGTGGGCTGGTTGAAAGTGGCTGAAAGCTTGATTAATCCGTTTGGTGACGACGACGACGACTTCGAAGTGAACTGGATGGTGGACCGAAACCTGCAGGTAGTTCCAAGCAAAGCACCTGGAAATCTCGGTCACTTCACATGTTTTTAGATCTCGTATTTAATCGTGGACGAAATGCATCACGACCATCCGGAGCTGGTCAGGGACCAGTATTGGGACGAGGTTTTCCCACCGGAATTACCGTACACTGCTGCAGCTGCAGCTGCTGAGTCTATGAGGAACACACATCCTCTTCCTTCCACAGCCAATATCGCAGTTAAACCCGAAGAACAAGGTAGCGTGACGATGACACAATTTCTCCAAATTAGTATCCTTGTTGAACAGTTTTTTTTCCTTTAAAGGTGGCGCGCGCTCATTTAAAGACAGCGTGAAATTAGCCCTTCACGATCTTAACATAAAAAGAGGTGACTCGTGATCTTTCTCTGTATACATAACACTTTTACTCAACTAATTAGAGTGTGCCATTGTGCCATACATGAAAATTGTAATAAATGTTCACCTTCAACTTAAAATAACTTTTTGATTGTTTTGCTAACGGTTTTCTTCAATTCATGCCAATAACCTCTTTGCTGATTATCTATAGCTGACCGCAAGATTAATCAACTGAAATTTTGAATTACAGAACTAATGAACCCCTTATCTGCAAAAGTGGACCCCATGCAAACCTACATTGATAATATGCAAACTGGCCCTATAACGTTCTCAGCTAATAAGGCGGCCGGCTTCAAAAGCCGCAAGAATTCTTCCAACAGCCTGGCGATTGGATCTTCTGTGCCCGGTAAGATTGCCATTATCTAGCTGATTTCCTGCTCTATTTCCAACTTTTGGCACAGATGCCATGTCAATGCCCAGAGTGGCGTCGGTTACCAGTTTGCTGAAACGGTTTTTTAGTCGCGATGACACCAGAAACGACTCTCGAAATGAGAATAATGTGGAAGCAAACGAAATGAATGCCCTGATCACCAATGAGGAAAAGCTAAAGAAATTAGGCAACAGTTCTAAGCGTATTACTGCAGATGTTATAGAAGAGGTAAGTGCCAGTAGACTTCAAAGGGATGTTTTAACTGAACAAAGAAAGCGTTCGGCATCATCACTGCCCTCATGAGCTTATGATGTAAGCAAGTGCAGATTTCGAGATGTGTTAATCTCAGGCACTCCCAAGACCGGTTTGAAATCGATTATCTCTTGTCAGCTGGATTTTGCCTGAAAATAGCAATGCCGAAACATGTACTTTATTTTCCCAAGATGAAGAGTAAGAGAGAAAAATGGACCGATAATTTTTGAACCTACTTTTCTGCACCAATCCATAAATCCAAATTTAATTTGTGGTTTTCTTTGCTCAACGTGGGGGGGAATTTGATTGATTCCAAAGATGTTCAGTGTGTCGATTAAAAATTCCACAATTTGCAAATAGAGTTTTATCGGTCCATAATAAACTGCTCATCAGAATAAACGTTACACGGCCGAAATTGCCCTAATTTTGGAACATGGTAAATTCTTGCTGATTCCGCTTGACTGCTGCAATGTATTTGATTTCTGTTTGAAGTGGTGTGTTGTACGATTCTTTTTCTATCCGTTCGTGTTCCTATAAAACATTAGTGCTTCAGATAAAGTTTTTACAGGATGGCTAATGTAACAATGCAAAATTTGTGAAAGTTTGGCATGCTCCCAATTGAGCAAAAAAAATGTTTTTTGTATGTCAACATCAAAGGCATAAAGATATACCTCATATCGCAAAACTTTTTTTTCTATATTTTTTATTTACGTGGTGATCTTGGTAAAAATCGACTTTTTCGTCTTGCAGTGATAACATTTTTATTCTTGGACGGATTTTCAAAATCAATAGCTGCCGTCGAAGTTAAAACGTCATGTAATGACATCGTCGACTCAAGACAAAAATTTAATTCACAAGATTGCGTTAAAAGTGACCCAATCGGAATTGCCCCCGAAACTTGGTATTATGGTAGACTTTTTCGCAAAAACTCTGAATGCTACAAGATTTTACAGAGCACAAAATCGTGAATAAATGATTAGTGCATCAACCAAAAAAATGAGTAGATTCCATCTATTAAATAAAAAGTTCTGGTAGTTTTCGTACCACTATACTCAAGAATTCACCACTTTTCTAAAACGGCTGAACTCTATTGTTTCATCAAAATATGAGTCTTACATAAGAACAAATTCACAGCGAGTTTCACCAAAAAAAATCGTACCATTCTCCCGATATATAAAAAAAAATAGAATATAATTTTGACCATCGATAGCAGAGGAGCCAGACATTTTTTGTTAATAAAAGTTAGGTCAGATCGTCTTTTTTTGACGCAAAAAAATATCGCAATATCCTTTTGATCACGTACTTACATAACACCCTGTATATATGTATTTTGTATAGTATGTTTTGCTTACAACGGCATTTTAATTGGTTGCGATTTTGTCTTTTGTAGGTGGATGAGCAAACTACCATAACCTCTCAGCGGTCGCAGCATGATTGCCGACCAAATGTAATGCACGTTTTCGGGCCGCCTCCTCCATCCCGGCCTATTGACATGCCTCAGTCCAGCAGTTTTTCAAATAAGTAAGTACTCTCGAATTCAAAAGTTCAGACACTCCCTGGTGGCTAAAATTGCAACTAAAAATTAAATAGTAATTTGACACTTGTCTTGTTGACATTGGTGTTTACATGTGATTGTGATTTGTTTTGTTCTAATCAACTTTTGCAAGCTTTTAAAGAAATAGAAATAGATCGAAAAGTGAGTACCTGAGTATTGTTTTATGTTATAAATGTCATCAACTTCAATAAATAGACACGTCTGACGAGTCTCAACTGTCGCTCGATAACGAGTAATTTGACGTTTCGCAGCGTCACTATCGGTAGTTGAACTCGCGAATACTGCTCCATTGGGAAATTAAAGCCGCTTATTTTCGAATGCTTATTGTTTTGTAGCCATCCGAATCATCACGTGTACGATCCGTTTCCGCCGCTAGCCAATTCAGCGCCGGGTGATGGAGCCGACTTTACTGATCGAGTCAGCATCGGCTCAGCTACGGACGATGAAGACGACTTTGACAGTCTGAAGAAGAAGAGAGATGAGGAACGGCTGAGCAGGTATGTGCGGAATGTATGCTGCGTGTGTTAATTGAGTTTTTTTGAAGGGGTGAATTGAGTGTTTGGTTAATTGAGTGTAGCAGAGCAAACAGTGTAGCTAAGCAACAGGCGCCTTTGCAAATGCGTGTAAAAGCCGTCATTCGTCTGGGATTCTGATCGGTTCAAGCACTGAGGTAACGTTGAACTTAGGCCGTTCTGTCGGCTTTTAGGCAAAACTTTGTGCCATTAAATATTCTAATAATGACAATTGAACATGGAATTAACGAATCGTGTATTGAAGTGTGTTACCAGAACTAACAATAATTGTGCTTTTACAACCCTTCAGCGAATTATTGCGAAACAGCTTTTGGAAAATACTGAACGTATAAAACCCGCGTTTGAGCAATTGTTTATAGGCAACGACCATACCACGTTGAATAATACCGGTTCTCGTCCGATCACCGAAGTTAAGCAACGTCGGGCGCGGTTAGTACTTGGATGGGTGACCGCTTGGGAACACCGCGTGCCGTTGTCTTTTTGCTCCTTTTAACTATGTTTGATTTATTTTGTTTCGAGTGAAAAGTTTTATTGTATTTTCAGAAAGAGCACATCAAAAAGATCCAAAGTAGGTCAATTGCTAAACTTTCAGTCGTAAGAATCATGAGAACGGTGCATTTCTTTTTCTTTTGGTCTTTTTGCTTCTTTAAACACGAGTGGCTCATCGCAGTAATGTCTGTCATGGACCCATCATTTGGATTCAAACTAACCGTCACTTACAGGGTGACCAGGTGTGGCGATTTCTCTTGGTTTTGTGATTTTGGAGTTTTCTATTAGCCTGATAAAAAATAGCAGTATAAGATTAAAGATCTAAACGCTAGCATCTGCAAGCTGAAGCTTAAATCACAAACCTAAGCATATTAGAATCTTATATTTAAACCCTTCGGGGAAGTAAAACATATATGATATCAGATTATCGAATAATCGAGAGATATACCAGCCAAAAGATATGTTTATAAAAAGTAAAGATACATTCTTTAAATTCGTCTTGAAGGATAAAGATTTATTTCTATGCACATAATTAATATATGCTGTTAGATTTTTAATCCTACTACTGATATGATAATATCGAAATACTGATAGTAAAGTCAAAGCGACTGACTTAGAGTATGAACAAGAAGAAACTGAAATGTTAGACCTACTTCGAGAATTTGCTGTTCCTTGCCGGAACCGGCTATTTTTAAGTCTACATTTGGGGATTTTTGGTGACATCGCCATTTCTCAGTCTGGTCACCCTGGCCACCAACCCAAACTAACCTAAACATTTTAAGTTTGTTTTGTTTATAGACCGGTTGTATCAATAACTCCTACAATTGTACATATTATAGGAGTTGTTGGTTGTATACATTCGCGTAGGGTTTATGGCTATGCTATATAAGTTTTTATTCGTTTCTCCTTTGGAAAGTTACTTAAACAAGGAGGCAATAAAGTCCTGCGTACGCCATAACATATCCTTATTATCCTTATTCATTGAATAAACCGGGCAAGCGAAGGAGTACCTTGGCGATGAGGGAAGGGTTTTACTGAGTAATCAGCCGGGCTGGAGTCTTATACAGCCCAGAGCGCTAGTATACCAGCTCTGGGCAGAGAGCATTTCCTAAACCTCATCCATTGCAGAAAAGAATATCACTAACAATATTTTCAATTCAAACAGTATTTGAATGGTGTAAAAATTATACATTATATGTTTGAATTGCAATGTTATTTTGTGCAAATAACAGATTATCAAACTTTTTCTAAGACTAGTCCAAATGTATTAATTGGTGGTACCGTTTTTCATATAGACACTGGGATGGTTCACTTTGAATTAAACTGGTTAAACTCAAACTAGATATAAGACTTTTATGTTCATAGCGAAGTGCCTGCGAGTTCGCATTTTGAGCGGATCGGATAATTAAAACAGTAAAACCTCAAGTAGTAAATAAATTTCGATAAACAGTTTGCCAGAGTGCTTACATACAGTTGCTATGTAAAAAGTAATATAAATTAATCCTTGCGAGGAATCATGTGCATTATTAATAATTGAGTTTGTTTTCTATCAGTAAAGTTCTGTAAGCCCAATCAAAATATTTAAATATCTACCGCTTACTGTAGATGTTTCATTGTTGTTATACTTTCGTTAGAATATGTAAATTACACTACATGAAAATATATTCAATTTCTCTGTATGAAGATCTTCTGGATGTTAATAGGCAATGCAAAAGTACGAGTCAACAAATTTGAATTACAAAATAATTAAATTTATTAAAATACCAAATAGCCTGAATTTTTTTTTAATGCTTCGAGTTGATTATTATTGTCTTAATTTAATTATTATTCTTGTTATTATAAAATTAACTTCCTTTTATTTTACGGCTTATATAAAAGCAAGACTTGCAAGACCAAGACCAAGAGAAGGTCTTAGTCTTGCTTTGCTCATCACTATTTTGTTTGAACATTTTAAACACTTTCAGAATTTAACTAGAAGCAAATATGTTTAAGTGTAGTGTTTAAGGCTTAATCGCGATTAAAGTCTGTCGGTGCATATGGGCATAAACGTTCGGGACGGGACAAAATCGTTCAATTTTCGAATTTTCAGATCCAAAGTAAGTGAATTGCAAAATTTTCAGTCGCAATAATCATGAGAACGGTGCATTGCGGATCTGACACTTTGACACTAGGGATGATCTCCATAACATCGACAAAAAAATTGCTTGGATCGATTGTGTGTTAAAAAATATAATCCTTATCGACTTATAAGCAAAAGTGGTGAATACAGGATTTAGATCTGTGGGGCTTTGACTTGAGTGTGTAGAGCCAGTTGTACAGACAGTGTGTAGAGCCAGTTTTTATATTTTTTTTGTGATAAATAAAAGGTGTTTGCAAACTGCGTTACAAATTGTCGAAATCGGAATATTTTCCAAGTGACAGCCCATCAAATATCAATTTTTTCTTTTAATTTTTGAATTATTCTGGACCTTTCTTCGCGGATTCAATTGAAAGTCGGTATAGAGATAAAAAATTGTTTCTCCACGTTGCCACTAGCTGGCACTTTACGTGACATCCCAATTAAATTTTTTTCCGTAACTTTTTTAATACCGATAATATGACAAAAAGCAATATGCGATTTTAAAGATTAAACAATACTAGACAAAAAATGGGCTTTTGACATTCCATTTGACAAAACCTCTTCATTTGACAAATTGACAAAGTTTTTCTCACTCTCAACCCAGTAGTCAGAGCTGGGCAAATTACTACATTAGAAATTACAAGGGCAAATTACAAATTAATAACATTCAGAAACAATACATAATAATATTTACAAAAAAAAACAGAACACATATCATAGGAACTTATGAAATAGGATAACCATTTAATCAGACAAAAACTAAAAAAAAAATCACGGGACGCTCGACAGAAGTGTTAACTTCATAAATTAATAGAAGCCATACAATATTAAACTTGTTTAACGCATGATGGCAATATTTATTTTATTTTATAATTTGAATATTCTTGTTTAGGCTAATAATTTATAAATGGATCAGGAATAGGTAAAATGTAATTTAATTTCCTTTTGAATGTAAAATATCTTGTTTATTTGCAACATTTAACAGTCTTTAACGATATGTTGTTAACTCTTCTTGAGTTTCTTTATTTTGTGTCGTAATTTCTTATTTGCTTTGTATAATATTTAACGTTCAGCACTAGTTCGTGGTTGATGAAAGCCACTTTGAGTTGATCTATCACTTAATGCTCGTTTTTTAGCACGAAATCGTTTTTGGCGTTCAACATTACTTAATACTTTTCGCATTATAGCGTGTTTTTGTGACTGCTCTTGTGCATGTTGTTTATGAACGTCTGCTACAACTTGTATCTGAATAGGACTAAAAAATCAATTAATTTTGGTGATTGGAAGACGTTCTATCTGTTTAAAAAAAAAGGTAAAACGAGGAAGAGCTATAGAGACAGGATACACTTGACACACTATATGTATACATAATGTAAGCCATCGCGCGTATGTTCAAAAAAATATTCAAACTGAACTAATGCAATGCTAAAAAAATTAAACTAAATTGAGAAGATTTAATCATAAAGGAATCAAAGGGTATAGGAAGCGAAAAAATCCATTTTGATGCGTGGTAAACACAATTAATCATAGAAATAATATAGACAATTGAAAATAAGCCCTAATAAATTCGTTTTACATATTTTGCAACTATAAGCTGAAGGGAGATTCGTATCGCCTTAACATCAAGAATGCGTTGCGTGATAGAAAATAAGGAGACGGAACCCATGTTTCCTGAAATAACCGAGGCAAACTCAAATATTTTTCCAATTAAATTCAAAACATTTTTATTATATATTATTACAAAATAGTAATGATGTTTATCATTTTATGTTAAATATGAAAGATTACAAAATAGATATCTAAATATTGATTATTTGTTGTTACAAAATAAAATCTACATTTTCAAGTTCAGCTTCGATATTGCCTAAAACCGTACGTGACATCTCTGAAATGCTTCTAATTCCAGTAGTTCTTGTTATAACCTTTAGGTTAAATCCTTCGAATATATTAATAAAGCTGGGATTATCCAATATTGAAACAGCAAACAGCAGACATAGTATTCACTAGAAATTTCAAAATTTGCATGTTAAATTTATTTTGAGAAATATTTTTACTTTTTGTAAAACTGGTTTTATGTCAATTTGATTTTTTTGAGAAGATACATCAGTAGAATGCGAGGTTGTAGAACGTAGTTTACGGTAGAAGACATTGGTAAACACAAAAGAAAAATTTATTGAATCCAACTATTATTATTGTAATTTAAGACATTTTTGTCAACATTTTTTACTAAGAGTAATATTTGAAAACTAGAAATATGCTTAGAACACTAAATTAAACAATATAACAACGAATCATTTCATTTGAACCAATAATCAATCATATTAAGGGTATCAGTGATTTTACCACTGTGTAACAT